ATTTATGATTTTAACTTTAAACACAAGTGCCAAAAATACTATAATTACAACTTTTGAGTAACATTTTTGTTGTTTCATAAAAAGCGGCGATATCGTGCATAACGGTTTTTTATGCAGTATTTTATATAACTAACAATTACGGAATAAAGTGTGGATAAAAAGTGGTCTTAAAACTATTTTTTGTATACAAATTCCCAGGTTCAGCTTTTTCAGACAAAACCAAAACAATCTAGCCATCATTGATGGATTCACTGATGGCACTCTTATGACTTTTCATTAGTGGGGAGTGCAAGGCTTAACGAGATGCTAAAGGCGTTCACTAAGAAGTGATAGCGGAAAAAAAAAGCTAAACAACTGTTTCTTTTACACGTTCTCTCCTCGTTATAAGAAATGTCTGGTATTTAAAAAGCCGGGTTCGTCCACACGAGAAGTTTTATTTCTCAAGAAGACTCCAAAGTGAGGTTGATGAGGTCCCATGATGAATCAATTATAAATCAAGTGTCTTTATCGGATATGATGCTGTTTGGAGTTTTTCTTGTTGTTTTTTTGTCGTTCTTATTTTGTTTTTGAGAAGAAAATTCCGGAAGTGAAAAGGAATGTGCGGTTCTTGAGATTTAGTGTTAGGATAAGGCTACATTATAAACTTTCAAAATCACATTCTTTACAAACTTCCAGAATATTATAAAAAATAACTTTTTTTTTATTCAACATCAGGACTGTTATGCTTTCAAAGTACAAGACCAAAATACCAAACAAATAACATGCTGTAAGATTAAAGCGTGATATCACAATTAAACCTATACAAAGTATTTGTTTAAGTGTTGTTACAATGTGAAATGCGCGCCACGTCTTTTATAATTTACTAGTTTAATTGACCTGATGATGTGTGAACTTGTCAAGAGAGTCAATGCACGAAAACAATTGAGTTGAAAAATGAAAACCAGTTTATGATCACAAGCGTTTGTTTCGTTGTTAAACGTAAAGCTACATAATAGGCCATCTGTGTTGTGACTACTGTCAGTATCGAAAAATATTTTTTGAGAATTACCACTACCCACCGGTGGGTGGGGGTGTTGTAACAAATAGTTATGCAGTTGTTGAACTTCTTTAAATCTGTGCTAGTTGTCCCTAATTTTGAAGTGATAGACTAGAGGGAAGGCAGCTAGTCAATATCACCCAACAATGTGGACTACTCTAATCAAGTACTTGGATTTGGCCGTCACTCTTATAACGCACCTACAACCTTAAAGTGTGCAACGCGAACCACGGTCTCTCGGATCCGCATTTCGGCACGTTATTCAATGGGTCCCTAATGTACAAATAATTAAGTACGCAAGGTCAAGAGCTTATCTCATTTATCACATGACCCATATTTATTGTCGAGCTTACGGAGTTCCTAAATCAACTCACCCAAACTCGCCATTGTTCCCATACTTTGGCTTTGATTTTCAAAACGACCATTAAAATTTTAAATGTGTGTTAAAAAGTGAGACCAATTTTTACTGTCTTATCATAACTATTAAATAACAATTGTTAGTCAGTGTTCATTTTGCTATTAGGTTGGCAGAAGATGACTTCTGATGTCACAATAAACTACACTTAGCTTCACTTTGCAAATTTTTAATTTTATTTTCAGGCAATCGCGCAACGCTTATTGTACTATCCCTCCTAGATTGATTAGTTGGGAGGCGGTTAGTCAATAACACCCACCGCCAACTGAGCTCCTGGCCGACCGAATAGTGGGATTTGACCGTCATCTTTACAATGCGCCCGCTGTCCAAAAGTGGGGAGCGTAGTTTTTGTTTCGTTTTTTCTTTGCGCTAACAAGACGCGTACATCCTCAGATCTATCGTCTGGTGCGCTAACCATCGCAGCACGCTCGGCCCTACAAATCTTTAAATGGTTTAAATATTACAAAGTGCGTATTTTTGTTAGCACTTCTGCAATTAATGTACGCGTAAGCATTATCAAGATATGCTCAGCTTTTATTAAAAAGGGTTGGCTGGAAACAAAGCTTGTAGCTCCGTCACTAAAACAATTATCTATACAAATATCCTACCACCAACAAAGTAGACGTTTTGGAAAAGCTGTGATTTCGATGAATATGTGAAATATTCATTCGATTTACATATTCTTGGAATTTCGTCTGGTGGATCCTTTCCAGACGGCCTGGACGTAATACCGTCACGGTAGAACGCGTTAATCACTAGTTCCAAGACCATTTCCTCCCTGCACCGCAGAGTTGTGGAACAACATGCACACAGACGTGTAGATTACATTCCAGTTTAAAAACCAGACTCCAAACTCTTCTGTTTTCTAACCAATGTTTCATTACACTCTTGACGATTCTAGCTTCTGGTGTATTATCAAAGTTTTGTAATTCATTTGACTTCCAACAGGTGGTTAAAGTAAAAAAACTCGTAACTCACTTATCACCCGAGCTATTCACGTGTTGAATATATATATAATTTCTTAATTCAGCCATTATAACGAGTTTCATTATTGTTTTCTACGACAGTGTTATTACGTGGAATTACTACACACTAACGGGGCGAATACAATTATAGGATTAGTATTCATTTACACTGACTTGTTTATAAAAACAGGAAATCATAATGGCAATAAAAGACTATTTACCGGTTCTTAAATCAACTTAACCTCTTTACTGTTTCCAAATTCAACTTAACCTCTTAACCAGTTCCTCAATCAACTTACCCTAAAATCGCCGTTGTTCCCATCGTCGAGCTGCAAGACATAGCCTTCCACAAAGCTGGTAGGCTGCGACTGCCAGGCTATTGTCACGCTGTTGTTCTCTGTTACACATTCCTCGGGAATCATCTCTGGTGGGCCAGGTGCTGGGAAGGAAGATTTCTGTCTTTACAATGAATGTGGTAATCGTTATGGTATTTTTTTCTGGGTGCAGTGACAGAGCCTGTCCGTCACTGTAAGATACGGCTGATTTAGTGTTGTACACTAAATCAACCGTGTCTTACAGTGACGGACAAGACACTCATTGTACGAGTGTCTTGTCCGTCACTGTAAGACACGGCTGATTTAGTGTTCTAAGAGTGTCTTGTCCGTCACTGTAAGACACGGTTGATTTAGTGTTGTACGAGTGTCTTGTCCGTCACTGTAAGATACGGTTGATTTAGTGTTGTACGAGTGTCTTGTCCGTCACTGTAAGACACGTCTGATTTAGTGTTGTCCGTTACTGCAGCGAATCAGCAGTCAACTGGTTAAGTGTATGCAGTCTTTAAAGGTTTGTGGCTTGTGTGGAAACAGGTGTTAAAAATGAGAATATAAGAGCTTTTAGCCTTATAACTCTTGGCATACTTCACAGCTAAATAGCTCACGGGGTTTTCTTAGTGATGAAAGAAGCTTAAAAACTGATATCACAAATAGATTTTAATTAACTAGAGCCCACAGTCATCGGTGAAAATGAATACGGAACTTTTTCACGCGGATTAATTTTACTTCGTAGTTTTTCACACGAATATTTGTATAATTATTTGACCAATGAGAATATTAGCGACATCTGTGATTTTCTTATGGAACAAATGCCTTTAATTGATGAAACCTATTTTGTGTTTTTCGCTCCCAATTCGCTCTAACGTGACTGAGCTACATTCAGCTAAAAATGTTTTAAAAATTACCTTTAACGGAAATAGACATAATTTTCAAAAGCAAACGATGCCCAGGTAAGAACTGAATAAACACATTCACATATTAAAACAACAGAAACATTCTGTAACTAAGAGCCTGTTATATAGTTCAGTAAGTGGACTACTGAGAAAGTGGACTCCTTACGTTTCATCTGAGAAAAGGTCATCTGCTGAATAGCTTCCAATACAGACTGGTGGTCAAGAGTTAGATCAAACTGGTGCGAAAGCCATGGTGTTGTGATGACCTCTTTATGCCATGTCATATCCAAGTTCGATACACGGTTTGTTAAAGAATTTCCAACCTACACAAAGTGAAAAGTCACGGTTAACTAAACAATAACCATACAAATTTTCAAAATTAGTTTTCGTAACTTGAGAAAACATAAGAAAAAGAAGTGAAAACGAAGATTTATTACTTACTTTAGAGGGTATCCACTAGGTGGCATTCTAATCATTATACATTTGTGTTTTCTCACATTACATATACTCTGAGTTAAACCGTTATTAGATTAAATTAATTATGTTATTTTCTACGTTATCCTTTTATTTTTATTTTTCTCTGATCAATGTGGGTAGTTTGCTTTTCCACCAGACGTTATTGATAATTAAGTAAACCAGTCCAGGCTCCAGCTTTACTGAGAAGGCCAATGAAACATATTAGGAGGCCAAATCTAAAATAAATATAAATAATAGGGCGGCATTTGCTTGGGGTAGGGGCGGCCCCCTGCTACACCCCGATTGCGCTGGCCCAGAGTAAAAACCTATTTAATCACTACTAAACCTACGAACTCGAAGCCGAGATTAAAATCAGCAAAATTCACAGATACTACTTTTCTTGCCAGAGAAAAGTTTACGAACTTACAACACAAAATTCGGGGTTGAATTCCCCGTGAAGAACAAAGTGCAGATAGCTCAATGTATAACACACACACACATAAACAGCACTTTTTTTTAAGCTGTAAAATATCTCTTTATGTATATTACTGAAAGTTTACAATTAATTTGATTACGTCATACGAGGCCTGTAAAATAGTCTTGGGTTAAAATTCTTTCTGGAAAAGCTACAGACATCGTTTATCTGACACAAATCTAAAAAAATATTTCTATTGTCTTCTTACGTATAAAAAAGGCCAAGATAATAAAGACTAATTAATTTAAAAAAATACTCTGAGGTTTAAGTTTTTAATTGTACAAAAAAAAGTCACACGGATAAAAAATAAATAAAATAGAATGTTTATCTGTAGAATAAACTACTAATGAAAGTTGAAGTTCCAGTAAAATAAATCATGTGATAAGGTAGTGTATCTTAGGGAATCAAATGAGTCCATCGGAAACTAGTTTTATTTAACAGAACCTTGCGACGTCGAGACAAGCTTTACGTTGGTGAGTCATGGGATCATAAATATTACTTGCAAAGAAATGCAATGATCGGGCACTTTTTACCTGGAGAAAAGCTGTGGGGTCAGTCTCCTTTAAAGCTTCGATACAGAACTGAAGAAGTCCTGTGGTCTGTTGGAGTTTGGAAGTACAGGAAGTTATCTGGTCCCGGAGTGTCTTGATCTTGTGGTCTCGTTCCTGCCTGGCGAACTCCAGTAGCTGCTGTTTCCTGGCGAATATAGCCTCAATCAATAGGTCACACTGGGCACTGATAGTGGCTTCAAACTGTACACAGTTGTCCTGGAAAAATAAAATGACGTGCTAATAATTTGAAATTGTGGACATTTAACTGAAGACAAGTTTTTTTTTTTTATATACATTCTGCTTAACGTTTCATTTTAGTTCATCTGAGAATTGAACTTTCTAATATTAAGAATTTTTTTACAAATTACTTTGAAACAAAGAAACAAAAATTGACATCATACTATCACATGCTAATGATACAAGCAAACAATCTTTTAAAAGTTCCATAAATAGCCGTCAGCTTACATGACAATTACATTACCTCAATGCTGGTCTGTAAACACCAAGTTATGCTACACTTCTTGATAAGAATTGAACAAATCATACTAAAACTTGAAAATATACGAAACAAAATTGAATTAACGCTGATTACTGGTATTCCCATTAACAAAAGGTGACGAAACTCACTGGCACTTTCTCAATCATACTCTTCAACTTCTGGATAAACTCTGTAGCGCCTTTAGCCTTCTCAGACACTGCCTGGAGATTATGGGACAGCTCCGTCTGGTGGAAAAAAAGTGATTCATAAATTTCAGATTAAGATTTTCAATGTAATGTATAAAGTGTGTGTATGTTGTTATAGAGATAAATCAATCAATTTTGCTTTACACGTTAGAGGAGTTTAGCTCCGACCAAAGCACAAGCTTTTCTCCTTCCAATTATTATGTTTAAAACAATCGGTTATAAAAAGTTCATATTGTCAGACTGTGTTTCCAATATTACCCACACACGTTATTCCTATTATCCTCTAAAGGTGACATATTTCAAGTCGAGTTCTTGATCTTCACAATAAAAATAAAATCTTGGTTAAAAGATCTAAACCATTATAGATATTCCATTAAAAAAAAAAAACACAACCATGACCTTCTGACCCCGGTAAACTCGAGTATGGCACATTGGAGAAGGGGTTGCCAGGAATCGAAACTGAAATATTAAGTTTCAACAAAACTTACTTATATCACTGTAATACCCAGGTGAAGGAAGAAAGTGGACAAAAATCCAACACTGGGTAAACCTACCTGTGTTGTTGAAGTAATTATATGTACTATAAACAGATATATGAAACCAAACGTAAAATAACTGGCTAAACTACCTGTGTTGTTGAAGTAATTATATGTACTATAAACAGATATATGAAACCAAACGTAAAATAACTGGCTAAACTACCTGTGTTGTTGGAGTAATTATATGTACTATAAACAGATATATGAAACCAAACGTAAAA